AATCTCAGAAAATTAGAATATTGTGAAAAGGTGCAATATTCTGCACTCAAAGTGTCCCACTCTAAGCAGCTAATTAAGCCATAACAGCTATAACACGGGAAATAAATGAACTTTTGCACGATATTCTAATGTTTTGAGTTTCACCTGTATAAAATAAACAGAAAACATTAAAAGTATTGCATGTTTTACAGTGTTTTCTTTATTCACAAATGGAGCCAGTCACCAAAATTTGGAACATTTTTAGGATCTGACATAGACCCCGCACCAGGTGCAGACATAGCAGGGGGTGATTTTGTAGAACTTACAACCTTAAAAGTACCTGTCTCTTTCAGCTTTTCAAGCTGCTCTTTAACAGCGTTAGAACCTAGCAAGACCTTGCAACATTCATCTCTGCCATAGCTGACATAAACTCATTCCAACCCTTAGGATAATATTTCACAGTACGCGAACGGTGTTGAGAAACCCCTTTGACCAGGTCTACAATCTTAGTACCAGGAACCCTTCTACCCATAAAATGGTTCTGTAATTATCCCACCCCAAAATGTCTTGATGCTGTTTCATTTTGTTCAACAAAAGAGAGGCATTTTTCTTGTAACACGTGCTCACTCCCTCTAATATCTCCTGCGTTGTTGTATTCGTAGTCAAGAGCAGTGGTGTAGGATCTGGTACAACAGTATTTTGTTTAAATGCTTCTGGAGATTGAATAAGTTTCAGAATGTCTTTCTCAGAGTCATTTTGTCTGGTCAGCCTTAGAAATCTCTGCAACACGTTGTTGTACAGTTTTATCTTGTCATCCTCACTTATATCAGTTCTCTGAAGAATGGTCCTCATATCATCATCCAATCGGCTAACAGCAGTAGTGCCTATTGTAGGCGCCCATCCATGTAACTGCTCCATCTGATGCTTTGGCACCAAATACATTTTTTCTGCGTGTTCCATGTTTACCAGACTAATAGATTAGTCAGTAATGGTATAGCAGCGCCCAATAATGGAACTATAAAACCATCTGACTGAAGAATAACCTGTTTCTTCTTTTTCAGNCAAATAAACTTTTCCTGTATCCTGAGAAGTCTAACGCCTGTCATTTTCTGCAACAGTGTGTAAAAGGTAGCTCTAAAAGGCAGGATAAATAGAATTAAGAGAAAAAATAATACCAAAAGTGTGGATTTTTTCAAAGGAGTTCTTATCACATTACTACAGGGACATGTTGAGGCATATCCCCAGTGGAGTCTGGTGGGCATGCGCTCTTAGAGCATAGGAGCATGTGCGATGACCCTAACTAAGGCATGTTCAGGCCTGCCCCTGGCGCTGGCGGCGGTTCACGGTCTGATAAAAGAGGACCTCTGCAGAAGGGGGGCTATTTAGCCGCTTAAGGCTTAGGCCTCTTAGATCTCAACATGCAACCTGACAAAGGAAATAATAAAAGGTTTGCAGACCCTTCTACACCATGGGCCAAGGGAAGGCCTCTTTTGAAAGATTGCCATAAAATATGTTGTACTACGTTTGTCGATGAGCTAGAATACTTCAGACCTATTTTGTTTGGATGACGTCTGTCCTGCTGTAATGTGAAGGACTATGAAGACAATGCAGACCTCGATGTATGTTGTCGCAAGGGGCGGGTAATGGCTAAGAGAAGTGATTTATCAAGTTGTAAGTAAAGTAAATTCCTAGCTATAACCATGACAAGAGTATGGTCATTTTAAGAAGCACCTCAAGCGAGGAAGAATCTACAGATGACAGTCTGAATTGTCGGAGCCCTACAAAGTCTGTTACCCACACTTGTACTGAGGATATTAATGATGATATTAAAAGAGAGATTCTTAAGAGTCATGATTACCCCCTTTGTCTACCAAGGGGGGTTAAAAGGGGCCTTTCAAATGAACATAACGACGATGAAGGATGCACATGTGGAGGTGTTGATTGTATTTGTACGGCGACTACAGAGGTTGAAGATGACGATGATGACTATTATGATAGCTCTGATGAAGGTTATTATTCTGCTGACGAAGTTAGTGTGAACGGGTTGTAAATTACAAATAAAAGGTTTATGCTAAAGAGCAAAGTGTGTTTTATTGTACGGGTTAACAGTGCAGAATGAAGTATAAAAATGTTCTAAAGGAATTGTATTATACACCAGAAAGTACGGGCAGCTATGGCGGTACAAATTCACTATTTAAGGCAGGGCAGAAGAGCATTAAAAACTTAATATTGAAGCAGGTCAAGACATAGCTCTCCGGACAAGATGCATACACCCTTCATAAACCCACAAGAATTAATTTTCCTAGGAATGCAACAATAGTTTCTTGCATAGACTGTCAGTGGCAAGCAAACCTCGTGGATTTAACAGGATTTGCCTTTGAAAACAATGGCATGAAATTTATCTTAACAGTGATCGATGTGCTATCCAAATATGCCTGGGCTGTCTATTTGATAAGTCCAGACGGGGGGTTGCAGAGGCTTTTCAGAGCATCTTCCAAACAGTAAGGGCCCCCAGAAAGTTACAGTCAGATGCAGGAAAAGAATTCTTAAACAAGCCTCTGAAGACGCTTTTGGGACGTTATGGCATACATCATTTTGTGGCACATAGTGAAACTAAAGCAGCGGTTATAGATAGATTTAATCGCACTCTGATAAATAAAATCTGGAGGTATTTTACAGCTAAAAATACTCACCGGTATGTAGATGTTTTACCAGCTCTCATGCAGGGCTACAATAGCTCTTACCATCATAGTATCCAGATGGCCCCCAATACGGTAAGCTGCTC